CAAGTAGACCGGCCAGAGATCGAGGATAGTCTTGCCAGCCGGGGCAGTCCCCGGCGGTATGAGGTCGTATACATCCAATTTCTTCCACGACACCATCTCCTCCACCTCCCCGTCCCACCAACGGTCTGCGTCCACGTCCGCCATCGCCTCTTTCCGGTTCTTCGGGTCGTTAGGGAATTCCAGGTTGATCGGCCCCTCATCTGCACATGCGTTGAGAGCTTCAAACATCGCAGCCTCGACACCATCGTCATCCTCCGGGGTCGATGCAACAATGGCCTCTCGCTCCTGCACGAGCAAGAAGTCATCATCTACGGCGTCCGCCTCAGCAACAGCAGCATGAGCATTCCCAGCAAGACGAGCCGACCGGCGAGGCCCTTCAGAAGGCAGTTCATCAACCGGGAGAGCAACCCCAGCATCATGCGGCACCTGCGAGGACGCCAGAGGCTGGCGAGTACTCGCCTCATCATCCGGCACCCCCGACACCGCAACCGGTTCCTCCCTCGACAACTCAGCAAGACGGCGGCGCATGATATCGCGGTTGATCTTCAGAGGCACCGTCTGCGCGCTCTCAATGAATCGCACGTGGATGGAGTCGTAGACCTTGCCTGTGGATCGTTCCCAGCAACGGTAGGATTTCGACCTGGGAGTATACCCAATAAGTACGCATTCTAGAGAGCGAGCAAAGAGCTTGGGGTTGTGCCCTGGAATCAGCACAAAAGCGCGGCAGCCAATCTCACGGAGATGGGACAGATTGGGTTTCCGCTGGTGATAGCACTCGAATGGTGTACGCCCGCCCTGCGAACGTGAAGGGGTGCGAGCATGCAAGTAGGCAGCGGTGACGTAAAATTCATCCCAGAGATTGGGCGGAGCTCCGCAGGCGATACGCATAGTGCGCGCCTTGTTATGGATGGTCTCATGGTAGCGCTCAACTTTCCCATTCTGCGCCGACGTCTCCCGGGACGTAAAACGCAGTTGGGTGCCACGGGCAGCGCACCAATCACTGAACTCGGCGCTCTTCAGCTCGCCGTTGTCCATGTTGATCTCCACCACTTTCTCCCCGGACTCCGTCTCGACAGCTAAAATCCAGAGTTGCATAAATTTGCACGCGCTAGCCTTCGAAGGGAGGGGGATGCACCACCCAAGCGAAGTCGCGTCATCTACGACATCCATCACGTACTCGTTCCCGCTGCGCGATTTGACACTAAACGGCCCACTCAGGTCCACAAACACCTTCCTCAACCTTGTCACCGACTTATCTCCCTCCCGCTCCTTCGGAATAGACGAGCGAACCTGCTTTCCGAGAAGGCATGCGTCACAAGGAGTTGCAACAGGAGAGGGAAGGATGTTCATACCGGTAGCCCCCCCGGACTGGAAGAGGTCGACACAGGCTTGCGGGTGCGCGTGACCCAGGCGACGGTGCCACGAATCAATATCACGCGTGGCCGCAGAGGCAGCAAATGACGAGGACGGGACCGCGAGCTTGCAATCGAGACGGTAGAGGTTCCGAGACTTGTCGATGTTCCCGGAACATATGCGCGCTCCATCAGAGTTTGCAATCCATACTCGTTCGGCATCGAAATGGCAGGAGAGATTGAGGTCCTTGCAAAGGCGACTGACGGATATGAGGCGGACAGAAGCCTTGGGCACGTAGAGCACGTTCGTAACAGTGAAGCAGTCGGTAGCAATTGATCCAATTCCTACGGCGTCGATTGAAGACCCCTGGAAGCCCTTTATGGAATGCGGCGCTATCGGAAGCAAGTCGATGAAGTCTTCCTCGTATGGGGAGATGTGAACGTTAGCGCCCGAATCCGGAAACACGACGAACGAGCTGCCCGTCGCCATGTTCGCTTGCAACGTAGCCCAGTCCAGCGGGACGAACGCGTCCGCCAGCACGGCGTGGGTCTCCGCCAGGTAGAGTGGATCGATTTTGGCAGGCAGTGGGTCCGCTTGGAGATTAATGAAGTTTGCTGTCGGCAACGGGAGAGCAGGATTGGATGATGGCGTCGGCCACACATAGTAGTCCGTACCCGCCACCGTTAAATAGGCTTTCCCGTTCGCGTCGCGCTTGAATAGGCTGGTCCCATGACCACCCTTCGCCTGGTTATTGCCGCGTCCAGCAGACTTCTTCCTGTCGGTCTCCCCTCGCTGCACGAGCTTCTGTCACAGATTTCCCGGCCATACCTCCCCCTTCAGCCACGCAATATTCGGACGTATGCGTCTCACGACTTGTGCACGCTTTGACGGTGCAAATGTCGCGGCGACGCGACCACCCCCCGTGGCAGCAAACGCGAGTGTAGATGGAGTAGGCGCCGTGGCCTTATCCACAATCGCCTTCTCGACATCCTCGGCAGACAGGGTAGGACGTGCAAGTAGCCCGTTGACCAGATCACCATGGTTGGCAGATAGAGCACCGACGAGAAGAGCCGTCAAGAAACTCTCAGCGGTAGGAGCGCCGCCAGCCCATATCACCTTGTTCCAAGCCTTGAGTTGCTCCGTCGTGCGCTCGAAAGACGTTGCGTCAGCGGAGTACGAAAGCTCGAATGCTGCCTTCAATGCCTTGACTTGATTCAGCGGGCCTCGGTGGACATGACGGATACGTAAGGCCTGCCAGACAGCGGAGGCGGATTCGTGTGCTTCGACAGCATCTCGCTCGGTACTGGACAACACAGAGAGGATGAACGACCGCACAACTGTGTTGTTGTCGGTCCAAGTCGAGACCGCAACTGGATTGAGGAGATCGGGCGTATGGGCGGGGTCAAGGAAACGCGTGGCACCGGCGTGCAGGCCGAGATTACGCTCCACACGTCCCGACCACGCCGCCCAGTTACCCTTCGAGAGCGAGAGGAAATCGTCCTCAGACCAGTTGGAAATGGTGATGGAGAAAGGTCGGGCAAGAGGTGGCGAGGCGGAGAAGACATGATGAGGGTAGCTCTGGAACACCGGCGAGAAATGGGAAGGGATGAATGAGAGTCGGTATGGGGAAAGGCGGGAACGTAAGGCAACGGCTCAGCAAACGCGGCACGCCCGAGCGATGGCACGGACGATGTTGAAAGAAACGGGTTGTTAAAGCGAGGAACAGGGGGGGAACGCGGTGTACGAAGGCCACGCGCGAGTTTCGCCAGAGGCGAGCTGTCGTCGTAGACATCGAGGAAAGGATTCGAAGGGCGTGAAAACATGGTGTCGCGAGTCGGCGAGAAGTGGCGAGGACAATGAGAGTGGATATGAGAGCGGAGGAAGCGTCGCGAGGTACAGGAATCAAGCGTCTTCAAACGCTAAGGCCCATAACCTGTTGAACCTGTACTCAGTCAGCTTAGAGCCGCTGTAGCACAGTCAGAATATAAGAATACAAGAGTCGCGTCGCACGTACCTCACTGTTCGGGAGAAGAACAAGTGAGGCTGTGCGACGGATCACTATCTACTTAAGCGTCCGCTCCGTCGCCTGATCCGCGGATCGACAGCATAGACCAGCAACAAAAGGAGTCATGCGCACTTAGATGTTATATCTTTCGAGTTTAAGATTCATTCCATGGATGCTTCTGTGTGCCACCTATTGTTTCAAATTGTTGGCTGCCCAGACAGTAGTCTTGCTTGCAATCCCTTCTTCTGACCTGATGGCCAAAATAGAGAACCTATGCTCAGCAGCAGCATTAAGGCCCACTCATCTTGTTTCTCTAGTCCTCCCATCAGAAGGGCATAAGCTACTGAGCCATAGCATGCCCTGGACAATGCCTTGAGCTACGGCTCATCCTTGTCAGATCTTGTAGGCAGTCCTTGTAGCCACTCCTTGTACAAGGATGTACTAGGACATCTACAAGATGTCAAAAGGAGCTTGGAGAGAGAGACCATAGAACACTACACCCCATATGTTACAGTAAATAGATAGCATATAGTTCATACATACAATAATATATCCGACATGCCATTGTGTTTAGTGGACCAGAGTTGACTGCTGCGCACAAGCCCAGCTGCTTGCCTAATTGTCTTGGAAGCTTCAGCGCTCACTGTCCATGCTGAACTCATGGTCGCCCACCACAGAGTGCCGAGATGCGCTGGAACAGCGCCAACGTGTCCTGCGAGTGTCCCCAGACGTTGCAGATGCACATCAAGGCCAGTCCTCACCAAAACGTTCCAAACACATATGAGGCCAGTTATTACAAAAAATTATCTGCTCATGGTTTAAGGTTTATGACTTGTGGTTGTGGTTGTTTTTTATTGTTGAGGTCATTCTTGTGCTTGTGGCACATATGGTTGAGGTTTTGATTTCTGTGGTTGAGGTTTTAGGCCTGTATTGCAAGTGTCTGGAAGCTGGAATTCACATTTCCTCTCCCATCAGATTCCGATCAACTCATCAATACTCTACAACAAGTTGATATCATATGCAAACTTCCAAAGTGTCCAGGCCAACTCCAGGCTTTACTTACCAAGTGATTGGTCTGGGGATCATGCAGCTTAAATATCTTAGACTTTCTGAAGCTTGGTGAGATGAGGATAATCTAGAGATGTAGAAGCTGGATGCATTACAGTGCACTAAAGTGCGATACAAGTTTGATGAGATTGATCGGCCATCAGAGTATCAATTTCCACTAAATTTACATGTGGTTAAGCCATCTAATGTATGATCCCTGAAGCTCAAACATGATAACATGAACCACAGATCTCATAGCAAAACCACAAACCATCAATTGAGAATCCAAAACTATGTAAATCACACATCACAACCTGGTAAAAAACCACAACTATAAAGCTGTACCATCTGCAAAACCTCAATGGAGCAAGCACAAATAAACCAATGAATTTTTGTGAAAACTGATCTTATAAACACGGCCTCTGCACAGACTGCACTGGCCTGGTAGTCTTTGCTTGATGGACTCTGCATTCGCCAAGTCTATGTAGCCGAATTCGATGACGAGATCAGGTTGACAAAACGGCCGGGTATGGTCCGTACCATCACGGACCGATGTCACAGTCACACATTTTTTTCTTCTCCTTTTCCCACTCCCCCCGCTCATTCTGTTCTGGCGCAGTACATATTGACACCCAACAGCTTAAGGTGCGTCTCGCCCGTTGCCGGAAGGCATGTTGCTAATGTGTTGTGTCTGCTTCACCATATCTGCCCAACCGCTGTCCTCACACATTCGTCGTCACCGTGCATACGCTGCGCCGCGTCGCTGTACATTCAAGGTGGCTTGGCACGCGCCCATATGGTCTGTGCTTGTCGCCAAAGTGGATAGTACGCTGACCTCCCAGGCAGGCTGGAAGCCGGTGCCGGCCCATCTTGAAGAGCTGTATGAAGCCTCGCTTCCGATGATGGACTGGCCAGGCTGGAGTCGTGGTGCGTGTATTCAGAGCTGGAGCACGAACAGAGTCTAACAACCTTCAGCTTGCATCTGTCCGGCGGGAGCTCTCACGGCCAGACATCGCTCAGAAAGCTCGAATGCTGCTCCGACTGCCTGCCCGGCTAGTGATCCAATTGTGGTATGTTTCATTGTTCGTCGTCAAGCTATGTGCTCACCTGCAATATCTCTACCACACCTGGGTCTGCCACCGACGGTGACCGCCTCCCTCGAGTACGATATCATATGCCTTGTTCGTGCGGATGGTACGCGTTTGGGGCTCCTGCAGTCATCGAGGAATGTCATTTGCAATGCTGGCTTGGCAAACTAGTATTCTTGTGGATCTGGCCCGGATGGAGGGTGGGGTGAGGGGCCCATGGTATGCTTCATTGAACTGCATGTATTAGATAGTGGTACTATGCAATGAATACATTCCCAATGCTTATTCTACCTGAGAGTCACTTTTGACAACCTTGTGCTGAGACCTTGTGGGCCTTGTAGGCCTTGTACAAGGAGCAGACATACCTTGTGGGTAGAATTTGTTATTTTCCTGATGTCGTGACCAACAATCCGAGATGCGGAAGACCGTCACCCAACACACCCATGACCACCGCGTACGCCATAGACCCTGGCACATGCTTCGACCAACGATGGCAGCTCTTTCTTTTGCCTATTGGCAACATGGAAACTGAGTTCAAACGCAACGTGATATTCATTCCGTGTTGATGTCCCCAACAGAGACTCATTTGTGTGGTCAAGTTCTGGGCTGCCTTCGCTCACGGACAAACTCCGCTCGCGCTCCAAAGCTACGACTCTTCGTCGTCAAAACGTCCGCCACCGGTCGAAATATGGTCGATATATAAGAATTTGTCTACTGGGTTCGGCCGACAATCAACCCTGTAGCTTCTTTACCTCAAGCGATGGTGTTAAGCGGAGCAATAGCCCTCCATCGTCCAGTGTACGCCACAATTTCTAGACTTCCTTCGCCATGGATCCGGCGGCCGGAGATTTAAACTGCACTACATCGGCGCAGACGGATCAGGTGCGCGGGCAGACATCTCGTAAGTCGAGGGCGAAATGCCCCCATGATCGCCGCTCACTGCCAGTGGACTTCTTATCGCTGGGCTAGCCCCAAACGGAACTGTCTGGTGCTGTGTTGAAGCCGACATCGCACAAAAGACGTGCTTCGGACCGATCTCCACAAATCCTTCCATTTCGACCTGGAGCCACGCGTCATGGTCTACAATGCTTTTTGTGTGAGTGTCATTTCCGACAAGCCTTTTGAAACTGAGTTCTTCTAGCAGGCGAATAGCAGCCGACTCGGAGGTTTAAAGTTTGAAGTGGGGACCCTCGAAGGCTGCAATTAGAAAGCTCACATGACGGGCTCTCCCCGGCGACTTCCTCAAAGCCGTGCTTCTTCGGAGCATGCACGGGAGCATCAGTAATCACGGTGGCGGATGTTTTAGTCCCCACCTCGGACTCTTTCAGATGGTCATCGGTACGAGTCCGACCTCATATTCAACCCAACATTAATGCAAGCGCGTTTCACAGCCAGCTTTTCAGGAATGTTTATGGAGCAACGCATCCACCCTTACGACCAAAGTCTCAGGCGCAGAGAGTTGTCATCCCGACGTAACGATTTCGACGCTGCTCTGGGTTTCGACGAGCCAACCAGCCTCGGAGCTTATACTCGGTGTGAGTCGCTTAATTTATTTTGCATATCCCTGGCCACTAGTGTGCTTGCTCGCTGCTGGCTGCTGACCATCATCAACAGCAGGACCGCTATATGAAGGCGACGATGGCATGCTTTTTGATTTTACGCCTTCCTACCAGCCCGCCCGGAGACACTCTTTCCCGCCCCGATCTCTCGAACGTATTCTTCGGCAGGGTGACGAATTGCTACGGATGCACGACTCCCGCATAATGCGCAGCGGCAATCCTCCTCCTCCCTCCCAACTGCCGCTTGAGCTGGACCCTCATATCATCAACAATACCAGCGAGTTTGCGTTGCAGAGAAGAGTTCCCACCAACGAACCCCCGCCACAACCAGTACCGATGGCACTTCCTCTTGTCGCTCGATCGCTGTCGAGCGATTCTTCGACCGGATTCTCGTCGTTAGCTTCAGCGGACACAAGGAGCTCTCGCGGCGTCTACGACTCAATATCGCCCCAGTCTCCTCCCAACGTTTCGCCAGTCATTGCATGTCAACCTTGGTATGTTTTTCTGGATTCTGTCAACACTCAGAATCTGATCCCAAACCAGCCGCCGCCGCAAGGTACGCTGCGACTCCGTTCGTCCCTCATGCAGCAATTGCGTGCGGCGCAAAACACCAGATGATTGTGTTTACGACGCGGCTCCCCGACGTCGCGGGCCAGATAAGAACCCCGGGACAAGACATCGACCATGCAAGAAACGGCCGGAAAGCAGTGCTGGAGATGCTCAGCCAACTTCTGGAGGAGGGTCAAGTGAGAGTATGCAGTAACGATGAATGGAGACTTAATCCTTCAGATATAAGCATCCCAAACCTTATCAGATGATACCTACTACTTATCTCATTCTCATAGACTCATAGTACAAGTTCAAGTTTCAACTCAATAGGAACTCTTTACCTTCAAATATGTCCGACTATTTATACTCACTACTAGTAGTACTAGAGTCTAGTACTAGTAGCACCGATTTCAAGTTGCTGCCAGTGTCTTCAAGTTGCTCATTGCTCAATGCTGAAACTTCAAATCTACAAGATCTGCATAAGTTTATCCCGGATACCGGTACCACTGGCAATGACAATTTGAATTTCCAAGCAGTGTCCAGTCACTCCAGTGTCAACGACGACGACTGTGTCGTTACCAAGGAGTATGAAAATTAGAAGGGTATAGCGGACATGGTAAGTCCAGCTGGGACTCCGAGCCAGTAGAAGCTACAGCAGTAGGCGCTTGACGACTAGCGACAAGGAAAGTATGAAGACTCTTGAAGAGCTCAGGCTTTCAAGTTTGCCCGCCGGTGTGTGATAGAATAGAGGGTTGTTGGAGCCCGATGACAAGGCTCAAAGGCGAGACGAAAGCCCTTTTAAGCCGTGTTGACACAGACTAAGAGGCATTGGCGGGGCCACGGTGGTCGACGGTCCGCAAGACTTTCTCCGAAGAATGCAAGTGGGCGGTCCGCCGGTCCCCGGCAGGAATGCTACCGTCGCCCGTGGGCTGCATTGCGGATTTGCGCGGGCCGGGCACTGAGATATAAAGTGCTCGCAACGCTGAGCATCGATTCTACAAGAGGGAACGGACACAAGCTGGAAATGAGGTCACACCGTGACGCTGTGACACATATTCGTGGTCAGTGGTTGTCTGTGGTTGTCTCTCTCTTCATCCACACTTGCAAATTCCTTTAATTGACTACCACTACCCCGCCTACCTGTGTGCCGACCATGCACCCGACCAGCAGCAATGCATCGGCACGTTGCTCGACACTGGGAACTTGAAGCTGAGGTGGGGCACGCCGCACTTGGGGGGACTTGACTCGGAACTTGTTGCGCATGCGAAATTGCCCGTGAATGCCTGAGCCGGATTCATTCCAGTGCTTGCGCGGTGGCCCTTGGGCAGTCGGAGGGGAATACATGAAGAAGCAGTGCGTACTCTTAACCCGCCGAGCCTCGCCGCGATTGACGACAATAACTATCTTTGAAGTGGAAATATGAATTCGGAGAGGGCAACCTGACGTGGTTTATTGTGAGGCGAACTGAGCGGAGGAGGCCGACCGGGAGCTTCTTCTTTTTCATCTGACGAAACGGTGCGCAAAATGTGATCTTGGGTTTCGACCGACCGTCTGACTTGTCTTGCGAGCAGCCCAAGTCTGCAGACTCGACGGTGTAGACTGCAAAGAACTTGAAAGCTCTCACCGTGCGTGCTGAGGGGTCCTTCTTGGAGTCTCAGTGCTAGCAGTTACTGGTCAAAATAACTTGCCCTAAGATTGGGAAAGTATGTTAAGGCCCGTCGAGCGAGGTAGATTATCTCCTCTTTTGTCTCTTACGATGACTCAAAACTTCCCGCAAGGCTCAAATTCTTACCGTCATTTGAGCGCCGCTCCAGGCTATGATTTCAATGCGCAGCAATCAGAGACTGCGACAGATGGCTTCCCGCTCCCACTTTGCAACTTCTTCCCCTCCACTATGACTCGAAACCCTTCGCAAGGAACTCATTTCTGTCTTCCCTACGAGCTTACCGCCAAAATCTTCATCGCATGTCTTCCACGCGACCGTCGTATACAGCCGAAACCAGGAAATGCTCCACTCCTTCTTGCACAAGTCTGTCGTAAATGGCGCGAGGCGACGCTATGTACACCGGAGCTTTGGAGGGCCATCTCTTTTTACCTCGGACGGGAAAAAGGCGGACTCGGAATAGGCGGCGCCGTCGCGACGCTTGACCTCTGGCTCTCGCGTTCTGCTCCGTGCTCAGTTTCCGTCGTCATTATCAGTTGCACGACTGGGGACCTTCCCAGTAAACTCTTCACAGTTCTCGCTGCGTATTCTGCCCGTTGGGAACGCGTGGAGCTTGACTTGCGGGGCCATAATCCATCTAATATCCGACGAATTGCAGGGTCGTTCCCCCGTCTTAGAATGCTGTCGATATTGATCGGAGACGAAGACCATCCTGCCCTAATTCAGCAACGCGGGCCAGTATTGTTCCCTCAGCTGTCGGCCTTGAGCCTGACGACGCTCGCGACTTTGCGCCGCCAACCGGCTGTGTTGTCCACATCACCCATTACTGCGCTCACATATAACACCATGGGGCGGAATCTCGTCGATCCGTGGAAGGCTTGCACCATCTTCTTTGCCTATTTCAAGCATCTTCGGCATTTGACGCTGGCGCCGATACCCCCTGATTTTCATCGCGGGAAATATTCCGGGATTATGCCCAACATTCCAGAGCTGGAGACGCTTTGCATCGTGGGCGACCCCCATTTCCTCGAGTTTCTGGTCGTCCCTTCTCTCAAGTCCCTCTCTGTGGCTCTGACATCAGAAGATGACGCTGCTGCCACACAATCTTTCCTCTTTCGGTCTCAGTGTGCGCTCAAACACCTTTCTATCACGATAGAGCCTTTTCTCACAGCCGATGCCTGTCTGGAAACTATGCTCGTATCGTCTCTACTATCATTCGAGCTAGTCTTCCGGGCGAACACGGACGCGCAATCAACCGCCTCTTGGGGAGCTGTGTTCGCGTCTTTTTTGCAGCACCCTGGCGGTGTTTTACCCGCACTGAGAACCCTGGTCATTATCGACTCCACTGTAACTGCGCCACAGGTGTTACATTTGCCTCATCGGGCCTTTCTTGACATCGCGCACCATTTTAGCAATACAGGCCTTGAGCGAGCAGAGTACCATATTCCACATGGGCCTATGGAGGACGACTTTCGGCTGGAACAAAAGGAGTCGGCAGTTTTGAAGGCGCTGATAGGACAAGGCTTGGATATCCGATTGTCCTATGGTGGAAAGCGATTACCCGCGACCTGGATAGATTCTGATGGACCTGAAGACAGAGGTGAGGGCTTTACTTCTCTTTTTTTCTTTACTTTTTTCATTCTTTGACTGATTATTAATCTGCAGACTATCTTCCGATACTGCCGTCTGGTTCAGAAACTTCGGGCTCGTTTTCAGAGACGACTTCGCGGGTGTTTCGGCCATTTTCCTTCCATTCATAGATCGAGAAAAAGATTGTACAGCCTATTGAAAGTCCGGAAACAGATTTAGTTTTTTGTCATCATGTCAAGCACTGCCTTGTGACAGCTAATTGTGCTTATCCCAAACTTCCACCCTCTTGTCCATGGAGGCTCCCCCCGAAGAGCCGCGATTCCCTCCAGAGCTGGAACGCGAAATACTGGAGTTTGCGGCGCGTATATGTCCCGAATCCATCCCCAACTTATTGTGTGTTGCCCGTCGGGTACTTCTTTGGTCGGCTTCTTTGCAAACATGCTCTTGAAACCCAGCTAACTTGGAGGCCGTTCTAGGATCGAGCCTCTCGTATACCACACCCTTGAAATCGACTCCTCAAAACGTTTCAAAGCATTTCTGGCGGCAACCAAATCGAGACCACCCGACTTTTTTGCGCGCCACGTCCACCGTCTGATCATCCACATTTCCTATGACCGGGACTCCCCGCTCGACGACGCGTGGGCCGCACTGGCGCTGTGCACTGGTGTGACCCGAGTTGCAGGCGTTGGCGCGATTGTGAATCCGCCCCTGGCGTGGGTGCTGGCGGGGATGCGCCTGGAACGGGTCGCGCTGTACCTGTCGCATGTCTTTCCGGGGTCGGTGGAGCTCGATTCCCAGTGCTTTCAGACGCTGACGCATCTCGACTTGTTCGATGACCTGTGGAACAACGAGGTCGCGATGGAATACGCAGCAAAGCTTGCGAGACTGCCGGCCCTCACGCATCTGGCGCTCAACGGCACGGTCGACTGGGATGTAACGGAGAATCTTCTGCAGAATTGCGAAAGCTTGCGGATCCTTGTGGTATTGTGGTCGCTGTCCGCGTCGGAAGGCCAGACACGCGCAAAGGAGGTGCCCTTCCGCGACGACCGCTTCCTTATGTCCAAATACACGAATATGACCGCGGGCGTGCAGGATCCGCCGAGTCTGTGGTCTCAGGCGGAGGAGTTCATCCGGAGGAAACGCGAAAAGCGGCTGGACGGTGAGTGTGTATTTATAATTTTCTTGTTTTTTTTTCGTGCTGATATCATGAATAGCGGCGTTGTTTTGGATGGGAGGAGTGACTTTGGACTGAGGTACTAGTGCGGCATGTCCAAGACTACGGAATACCCCGCTTTGTCCCCCCAGTCGAGCTTTGACCCTTAGCAACCATGACGATTGTGCGCGATCGCAAAGCTGACCGTAAAGCGCTCTGAACCGAACGTTCAAAGCGTCTACAGCGCCCTCGCCCTATATAAGCTGGACCCATTTGCGAATTTCCTTCACATCCATCCCCAGCAGTAATCCTCATCGATAGCATGTCGACAAATCCCACTCGCAAACCCATCACCCCAATCCGGGAAGAGATTTGCTTCCACGAGCAGCCTATCCAGCTCGACTTCTGGCTCGATGCGCTGCAGACTGTCCTGCCGGCTGCTGAGAAGGTGCCTAACTACCCTGGCGCGTTCTACCTCGACCTGGCAGGCAGGGTGAATCTACTCGAGCGCGGTATGTCCTCCACCCACCCAATTAAAATACTCTGATTAGTCTCCAGTCGTCGTTTACATGCGGCGCCTTATCCGTGCATACAACAGGGCGGCCAACCAACCCGACGCGCCGATCCACCAAGACGATGAGTCGACCTTCGTCAAGTTGGCCGGCGCCCAGCCGTCCGTGCAGTTTAGCCATATCTTTGCGCGGCTCGCGCTGCTCGTCGACATCGCAGCCTTTCCGAAGTTCTCAACGCAGGACGTCTACTCCTCCGGTTCGTGCCACCGTCGCTTACTATTCTGACATTCGCTGACATTGATAACTTGAACAGCGCACACATACATTGTTAGCTGCATGCGCGCGCTGCGCTGGCCGCTCCCCGCATCCCTCTACCCGGCACCGACGCCCAACCGCCCTTACGGGTCCCTCAAGGCCTGCGAGTCATTCGTATGCTCCACCCACGGTTACGCTCTGATGGAACGCGCAGCAGCGGCCGGCACGCTACCGGCCCAAAGGCCCACTGGCCTGCCGCCGAAAGGCTACTTGGTCAACTACCGCGGCGGCAACGTTCAGCTGCCGTTCCCCGACGTCGACGCGGCGGCACAGAGCAGTGACCAGGAGGGCGTGCGCCTTCCCAGCATCCGGCATTTGGATTACTTTGCTTATATGGGCATGTGTGACCGAAGGATGGACGCGTGGAAGCAGGGGCAGAAGTGACTTAAGTCGGCACTGTACCACAAACGTTAGTACTTAAGAAATCTTGTTATGATTAATGTTGTCATTGCAATGTGTTTGAACCTTTTTAAACCACTGGCATGTATGTAGTCACTATGAAAGTCATACCAGATGAACTTTAAGGGGTCTCATAAAGTGAAATTCCACAATGAAGTGGTAAGTATTGATTTCGTGGGAAAATAAGCAATTCCACCCCTGGACCACCCAAAATTGGGGTGAAATTCACAGACCCTCATTTTTGGGATCTAGTAAGAAAAATGATTTTTCCAATTTCATGCAAGGGGGGTTCAAGATCCTTGTCAGGCACATAGGGTGGGGGCCCCAGGGGCGGTAAAAAAAAACTTTTTCATATGAAAGATTTGGGCCTGATATAGGGGTAGGGACACTGAAAATACAGTGTATACAACCCAATTTCTATAGTTCTCCACCCTCAGACAGAAAGATTACACACACATATATATATATATATATCAACTTTCAGACTAATGAGCTTGGAAAGCCCAAGATGTGACCATGTTGTGATATGGGTCATAAGACTATTATTAGACAGGTGAGCATACTAAAGACTTAATATGGCTTGACATGTATGTGTTAAGTGCTGTGCAAGACCGAAAGGTAGTAACAGAAAGTCAGAGAGAAAACCAAGTGGCTATCACAATGCAGGCCAAAAGCAAGTCTGAACAAATATGTGAACTCCAACAGATACGTTCAGAGAAGCCGAAGGCAATAAGAGCTTAGAACGCGGGGAGGAGTCGGACAAGAGTACAAGTATTTATACTAAGTGGTAGGCATAAGGCATATGACCTCCCAGGGAGATCCAATGTGGTCTGTAGGATCTGCCTGCAGGATAACTACAAAGGCATAGTAAGTCAGGGGAATGAGAAGACATACACAAGGCAAAGGAAACAAGGCGAAAGCCTAAAGGATATAGGTAAACAAGCAAAAAATTCAAATGGGTAAAGATCCGTGTTGATGGTCGATTAAGGGCCTGTTCAGTCACAACAAGTAGCAAGCCATCAAGACCTGGCCCGGCTCCTTGGTTAGTGCTTCCCATTCTCTCATGGACCGGACCATCAAACATTGATATGTAACAGCCTATAACAGCTCCATAATATAATTTTACCATAAAATGTGTCCAGTCACGTGTGTCACAAATAGTGTTGTCTAGGGCCGGGCTGCCCTGCCAAGCCCCACTTAGGGCCGGGCTTTCCAGGGCTGGGGCTTGACTCTAAGTCAAGCCCTGGCCCCAGGCCCTGCCCTGCCCTGCCCTGCCCTGCCCAGAGCTTGAGGCTTAAGGCCCTGTCCTGGCCAGTGAGCGGTTTAAGTAGTACTTAGCAACCAAAATAGGACATGTGACTGATGCTAAGTCATTAGATCAGTCACATTGGCTTTATTTTGAGTCTATATTCACTATTACAGCTTGTTTTCTGTACTATATCAAGGAAGATGGTCAGCCATCACAGCCATCACTAGATTGTGATGGAAGTGAAAGCTTCTAAGCGTCACATTCGTCACATTTTGTGACACCAGGTCACTCTGCCGACCATCAGGGCCTGGCAGGGCTTAGCCCTAGGGCTGAGGGCTTTGCCACAGTCAAGCCCCAGCCCTGGGCCCTGACAGGCCCTACCCAAGCCCAGCCCTAGCCTGCCCTGCCCGGCCCTCCTATAGGCCGGGCCTAGGAGGGCAGGGCAGGGCAGGGCTTGAGGGCTTAGGCCCGGCCCTGGACAACACTAGTCACAAACTCATCAAACCCACTCTGCATCGTTTCCCACTAACTGCCGGCTCTCTGTCGTGTCAATGACAGACGTGTCAATGACAGACAGAACATGTCCAACGAAAGCTTCTGCGACTACTGCTGCATCTGATGCCTGCCATAGAGCCAAGAAAGAACAGGATTTAGCCCCGTGGCGGCAGCTATTTCTACTAAGGCTTCTCACGAGTGTCACGGATAAATACCTGTACTCTACCTGCGGGTAATTTAGGCTTCAAAACTAATACCTGCATTTGCAGCATCCGTGGGAAACGGGTACCTGTACTCACGGATACAGGTACCTGCACGGGTTATCCACGGGTATTTTGAATAAAATATTGGGATACTGAGGTATATTGACCATATTAAGAGCTTATATAGGATATAGTATCAAGTAATATACTGATATGGACACCACAGGGCATAAGAAGACTGTAGTGACTGGAATATATGGAAGATAATAAAAATTGAGATCTTCCAGAGTCATACCTGTACTCTTGGCATCCGTGGGAAACGGATACCTGTATCTGCGGATGTCAAACCTGCGGATGTTTTCCTGCAGGTACCTGTGCAAACATCCGCGGGTGTTGACACTCGTGCGGAGCTTTAATTTCTACTATGCACCGTCTTCACTGTCACAGCGCCCTGGTGTCATCCATGCATTTTGACCTTGCGGAGCCTATTCCCATGAATGACTCTGACTATACTGGACAAAAGTGGCTCAGAGACCTGACAGCTGGCTATAACCAATGGTTTAAGAACAATTTAGGTATGGTAAAAGCTGTGTTTTTCCAAATCTCTTTTGAGCTGCAATAGTACCATGGTCTCCGAAGCTCCAAGCATGTTTCTGCAGACAAAAAACTGGCCATATTCCTCCACCTGGCCCAAACTGGGAGTAGTAACCGCATGCTTCAAGAGTGATTTCAGAGAAGTACAGATATAATCAGCAGGTATGTATAGTGGCCTCTCAATATATCTTCTTCTCAACTGTTCAGGTCCATCTACTCTGTCCTTCTTCCACTTGTGGAGTCATTCTACACCAAACATGTTCATCTTCCCAATAACTCTACTCCACCGGAAATCAAAAACAATCGGAAATTCTATCCATATTTTCACAACTGTCAAGGGGCAATCAATAGCTCCCATTTCCATACTTGGGTTCTTTCACAATCCATGGCACAGTATCATAACCAGAAAGGCTTCATTGGACAGAATGTCCTTGCCGCTTGCAATTTCGCAATGCTATTCATGTACATTCTCAGTAGGTGGGAGGGTAGTGCCTCTGATTCCCATATCTTCAACTATGCTTGGAGACAAGATCTTGCAATTCCTCTGGGTGTTTTTTTTTCTTTCTTGGTGATGCAGGATTCCCACTATGTGGCGCTCTCCAGATACCCTATTGCAATGTTTGGTATCATTTATTATTATTTTTATTTTAAACCAACTGATATTCAATAGGCCACGAAATACTCAAGAACTCTACAATCTCCGGCATGCTCAGCTGCGGAATATTATCGAATGGATTTTTGGTATTTTTAAGTGCCATTGGAATCTGTTCAATCAAGCATCAGAGTACCCACCAGAAACACAGGCACAATTTGTGTGTGCTCTAGGAGCGTTGCACAACTTTATCTATGTTTATGATAGCTCCGACGATGCAAAATATGTTTCCGACACACCCCATTCCTCCCCATCGGCATCCAATCAGTCAACTCCATCATTGGTTTGCCGCACCGATTCAGCGCAAGGATTTATTGAGGAAGAACCTCAGGAGATCTCTGAAAAGTCACTATCATCCTCAAGCATCTTCACAGCCTGGCGCAGGATCTTGGGGCTGTTGAGTGGCTTCATTGAGCCAGCAATGTTGCGCAGTGCCAAAGCAAGATCAGTTGCAGGCTGGCCAACTTGCAGCTTCACTGTTCTGAGCCTGTCATCGTCATCCCGCAGGCTTCTCGGGAGATGACAACGCAGCACGTTTATGGCTGGGAAGAGCTGGCAGTGAAAATGGCGTCAAGTCATTGTGAGGATCCTGAGCAGGAGTCCGCAGGGTATATAGCAGGGTATGATGTTACAAACCATGCTAAGAGTGGGAGAAGGGGGTGTCGGGGGATGAGGTGGGCTATCTGCAGTGTTCCGAGAAGTAAAAACATCATCATCTTGAGTTTGCGATGCTGAAGAGGTTGTTGACTGTGTTTGGGACTCGGTGAGTTGAGTTTGTGACAACCTAGCATGGAAAGCCCCAGCCCCAGTAGTGACAATCCCATCCACAAGATGAAGAATATTGTCATACAGAGGAAACAGTGTTTTCCTCCACTTTTCATGTTTTTTCTGCATATTGTTAGTACCGAAGCACACTGCCCTATAAACACTCACTGAAACACTTGCCCAGACCGCATCTGACGCCGTCACCAACTTCAGCCCTTCATCCCACCCAAATCCCGACAGCGAACGAAGATACCGGACATTAATGAAGTTTTTTTTGACCTGGAACATGTCAGCAGATGTTTTGATGCTGGGTTGACACCTACTGTGCTGGTCCGGTGGTCCTTGCACTTATCAGCAGTCTTGGATGGTCCTGGACTTGTCGCAAGGGCCCGCTCGACATGGGTCCAGGTAACTGGCTCCCAGCCACTGTTGGACTGCATGCTGTGAGCCTTGGCCCAACGCAAGGTGTCGACAAGGGTTTGGTTGTCGATGTCCCGCCAGATGCAGCGAGGGGCCGTCCCAGCAGCAGGCATTGGACAGAAAAGAGAAGTATTGGCGGCTGTGACATGACGTGTCAAGCTAGCCTCTGGCGCCAAACAAACAGGTAGATTGATCCTGGGCCTGCTGACTCACAGCGCCGGGATCATTTTGGCTGACAACAGCTTGTTACCTGTTGCGACCGAACAGGCCCTAACAGTTTTTCATTGCGTGAAAACCCTGTTGCGCTCCAAGGATAACCTTGGAGCGTCTGAAGATGCACAGGATATAACAACTGTTTGTTCTGAACATGTGGCTAAAGTACCTCCTTGCACAGCCTGCCGCCGTACGTGCATGCTGATGTGGTGATGAGATCACCAGGCCGCTGTTCCAGCTCCCTGGGCCACGGATTTGCAATTGGTGGCAGGTGTCCACCTGGAAACAGTCATTCTGGTCAAAAATGCACACTTGGCCTCGCGGAGGCCGTGATACGTGTCCAGTCTACCTGATGTAGATGTCTGTATCCTGTACTGTACCCATACACCGTACTGTACCGTAAGGCTGGCCAGTGCCTCATCCGTACACCATAAGGTCCGCATTTGGTCCATATTCAATGCCTGTAAAAGGCCCCGTACCATATATGGTACATATGGTGCCGAGCCCTAGCTGTCTGTTTTCTAGCAGAAAAAAATGGGTTGTAAAACTGTCTGATCAATGCCACATTTTTTGTTACTAATTTAAGCTGTGATTTCAAGGGAAAAGACAAGAGATAACTCAGCTAAGACAGAGAACATTGGTTATCCTACAGAGCTTAAGTAAAGGCTGGGCCCACAGGGGGCCCATGGCTGGGAGAAGGGGATCCACCAACCAGGGAAATGTACAATTACACGAAGTTCAAAACAACAGTGTGGGGATCCGCCACGGAGTTAACGGTTACGGCCGCGCGGGCGCGTCTCGCGGGCGGGACCCACTAAAACCCTGGTTCCTCGTAGCCAGTTTCCAACGGCCTGCGCTCCCTCATGATCCTCGACAACTCCGGTCCAGGTCTCGAGCACTATCTCGGGGCTGATTGCCTGTAGTTTGCCCCCTATGGGGCGAGCAGCCATGACTCAGTCAATGTCAAGCCTTGCGTTGATGGCAGCGTACCATCTATTACGCACCTCCAGTGGTGTGTGTGTAACGCATGTAGGGTCAATCTTGCGCTCGCATCTCAGCTTCCATATGAGGAAGGCTGATTCAGAGACCAGAATCTGGAAGAGTCGCTGTTTCCCGCGGTCCGGCTTGCCTCTCCGGGACCGGAACTCGGCCAAACCGCAACCGAATATTGCGCCGACCGAGTCTACTGGCCACTCGTCATGTACTCTTCGCCATACTGCCTCCGCTTCGGCCCATATCTCGCCCTGCCCGGGCTCTCGGCACCGGAGTTGGATGTGCTCCAGTGTCTCTTCGCAGTCGCACGTGGCACAGATTGCCCGATCTTCGCAATTCGGGATGTCCAGCCACCTGTTTCCAAGCCTAAAGGAGTCGTGCACAAGAGATAACTCTTAGATATATTTGAACATTGATTGGCAGGAAAACCCTGGGGCTTTTCTGACAGAACAGATGCTAGTGAACTTATCTTTGTCTTTTGACTGGCAGATTTTTCTACACCTTTATCCAGCAGAAAAACCATACATTTCTCTTACAGATAAATGTCTAGATTTATACAAGACTTTTTTTTTATCTTCAGGTTTTTTTTTTATAGAAATCCCAGGTTAAATCAGTGGACAAATATGACATTTATGTATATGTTTTACCCTGGGTTTTGGTGCTGGAAACTAAGTCCAGCTTTAGCTCTGAGCTTTTCTTGGGGTAAAAACTACTATTTATATTGTGGTTTTATTATATAAGGACAATCTATAGATAAATTGGGCATTTATTCTTCCATTCATCCTCTAACTTTCCCAGGGAAAAAAATTCCTAAATCAGCTCAGTGTCTAAACAGGTATGCGAGGACATGCTTGCCCCCTCGAATGTCCCGCTATTCACATGTCCGGCGCCTACTTGGTGCGTCCGGAAGCTATTGGCAACCTACGCCGGCCCGACCCGAGAACCTTCAAGCTTCGCGCTCCCAGGCACGGTTCCCCAGCGCCAATCATGATCCTCTAAGGACTGCAGACCGGTGCTATAAAAGCTCAGACCAGCTCTCAGGCACGCCACACAGTCCATCCTCCGTACTTCACTCATGTCCGACACCGCAGACTCCCCGCAAACTACCAATATTAATCATCAGTTGAACACCGCCACGGCCACGGACGCCGCTGGGAGCAGTAACAGACGCGTCCTCGAGGGTTAGTGCTTGGCGACGCTCCCCACCTCGCTCTGACCTCTAATCGCAGGTGGGCACGGTGCACCGGGCGGACCGGGCCAGATCGGCGGGACCGGCGGCGTCGGCCACGCGCCGACGCACACGCTCGGGGGCGGCGCGACGTTTGTCGAGCTCCGGGGTGCGTACCGTGATCTGTTCCGTGATCTGTTCGTGACGTTAGCAGGCGGACGCGGTGGCCATGGCGGCGCCGGCGTGGCTGGCGGCGCGGCGCGCGGGGCGGACGGCGCACCTGGGCAGGCGCCGACGGAGTGATTCGATTGGATGTTGAAATGAATGGGATCGCCAACAAAATTATGTGTCTACTTTACCCAGTCCTGTGCCGAAATTCATTTGAGTAGGATAAGTCGAATATGCGGCGATCCGAGTTGAGTAGCCAGCCTGAGGGTGCTGTTGAGATTGCGACCATGACTTAGGCACGCGTCATGTTGCGTGTGTGCCAGCTAAGTGGAACACAATCTGGATTAAATGAAGCAGCGGTAAAGCAAGCAATCGTGAGTGAAGATCCCGCTCGCACTGGTCAGCTAAACTCAGTTTCCTCGGTGTTATCTTGAGCTGTGTATGGCAGTGCATGCGTGTGAGTCTATAATGCCTAAAACAGCTTTGCTAGAAGCCGAAGCCTCGAACGAGCGTTGGAGGTGCGAGCCAGCCGTCATATGGAGCACTAAGTCGTTCTCGAAGCTGTATTGCGATGGCCCGCCGATGGGCCGAACCTGATGACGCCACATTGTTTACCGCTGACAGCGGTGACAAGGAACTTGTGGCGAGAATGCGGGATCAGACAGACGGGCACTGCCAACTGAAAGAACAAAGTTAGAAAAAGCACCCGGGCCTTCCATATATCAAGCAGACACGGCCTCGACGCCTTCTCTGCCAGGACCACGACGACCCTACTTTCATGTCCCGCTTCTGGCAGCATGGCTCAGACACGGGCCCCGGCCCGCATATCAGCATCGCAGGTGCGTAGCCCCCACGTCCTGAGTCAAGTTGCTGACGGGGAGCTGCGATAGGTGGTAACGGCGGTATCGGCGGCGGCGGCAAGCTTGGGGGGAATGGTGGGCTCGGAAAAGGCCCGCTCTACGACCCCCGGGTGTTGAAGGACTTCTTCCGCAGCGACATCAAAGGTATGTCGCCTCCGACCGTTATCCAGTCGTCATATCATGCATAGGCGGATACGGCGGTGCCGGAGGGGCGGGCAGCGACCGCGGTGGGGACGGGGGGACAGGGGAAGCCCCGAGGATGTTCCGTCAACGCCTGCTGAACGTTCTACCGGACAAACTCGACGACCTGCCCCACGCCGAGCTCGAGGACTTCTGCAAGGAATACCGCCTGAGCAAGGCGCTTGCGCACATCCTTGAAGAGGGCGGATACGCGACGGTTGGCGGGCTGCTTGAGCTAGGGCATGATGACCTGATTGCCATAGGCTGCAAGCCAGGCCATGTGGCAGAGGTGAGACGCGCGTTGGTCAAGTTTTGTAAGACGCATGGGGTGAAAGAGGAGCCTGGAATCTGGTAGTGCGGGGGACGGAGGTGTCAGCGGCATCGAGTCCAAGTTGTGTTGTATTTTAGGATGTATTGCTTACTACAGAAAAGTGAGATGCGCTGTACTCTGCGCAATATATCACGGACTCACCGACGTCATCTATGAGGAGCAACTACCGCAAAGTTAGAAGTCAAACAAATGCACGCACTATGTATGTTATATCGCTTAGGGTCTCTCTTTGCTAACCAAGTCGGAAGATTTGAAGACCATAAATCTATTGCTCGGCCTAGCGTCGGATAATTCCGGATTAGATACCAGTGCACCAGGGAACCCGTTTGGGAAGCCAATATCTTGTGACCCGTCGTATGGCTGTGTGCGTGTGAGCTCAAAACGCCTAAAACAGCTTTGCGAGACGGTCCCGCAACGTTCTTTGTGTGGTCGTGTGTGTCCAAGTTCCAATGAAGCCCGTCGTTCTCGAAGCTGTTGTTCCACATTGTCCCCCCCGGGCCCGTCGGCGGTGAGAAGTAACCCTTTAACCAGTGGCTTTTGAATCGTATCAGAAAGACGGTGGCGTCCACTGCCAACCTGAACAGGGGAATGAGAAGATAAGATTCAGCCCGCCAGGTATACGTATAAAAGCACCAGACCTTCGTGATAGGCTCTCCCTGCGTCCCCCCACTAGTACTCATACTCCATGGCCGCAGCCTACCCCGAGCCACAGTCCGCGCAAGGCCCCAACCCATGGGTCGGAAAATTACGCATTTCGGGTGCGTCGGATGCTCGCACGAGGGTCCTATCGCTGCTGACCGTGCGCATGATAGGCGGTACCGGCGGTGCCGGAGGCAGTGGCAAGCATGCGGGGAATGGCGGCGCGGGCCGAGGGCCACGTGTCGATGTCGAGCAGCTTAAGAATATCCCGGATCGCGACGTGACAGGTATGTGGGCCCACTGTTGCGGAAGGACCAGATCTTGATCATGTAGGCGGAACGGGGGGTCTCGGAGGGCAGGGGACCGAACGCGGCGGCGACGGAGGGATCGGTGAGGGCCCGCAGCTCCAGCCAGACAGTCGCCCCTTGGTGAACATCCAGCGGGAAGACCTCTGGACCCTCCCAGACCCCGAGCTCGACGACTTCTTCAAGCAATACCGCGTGGTCGATGCGCTCGCAAAAAGGCTTGAAGATGAGGAATTTACAAGCGTCCACGACCTGCTGCACGCCGACGAGGGCTATTTCCAGAGTAAGTTTAAGCCCGGCCAGGTCGCGCAATTGAGAAAGGTACTGCACAAGTTTTGTCATCACCATGGACTAGGCGTGTAGACTTGGTTTAATTTTCTTGTAACTTGAAGTGTACTATGATGACTGCAAAAGATTAGGAGTTGGGACGCAACCCGCAAATACCAGTAGAAGAAGACTCAGCGGAGTTGCCAATGAGCCTGCCAGTAGTCCGGACTACGTAGTATTCCGTTTGTTCCGTCACCGGGTGCATGTTACCGGTTGTGAGTGCTCCAGAGTCCACGATGCGTCAACTTGAAGATGGAAGTGGAGGTGAAAAAAAGATCTGCCATCACGGTCGGTGACGCTGTGACACCTTAGTAACCTGTGCCACCTTAGTAACCCATTCACTGCAGGAGTTTGGGAATAAACGGCCCCCGTTTCGATCTATTATATGGCTAAAATCAATGTACCAAAAAAAGATTTTTTTTATACCTCTATTTGTGCCAAAAAAGGTTCACTTATATGATCCAGGGCCCTGATATATGTTATATAAGGGCATATTCACCATATCAGTGCATTTTTTTTGGCACAAATAGAGGTACAAAAAATTATTTTTTTAATACATCAATATTAGGTGTACAATCGATTGAAACGGGCGCCGTTTATTCCTGAACTCCCGCAGTGATTCCTTATGAAACCGATAAGAAAGGAAACGGATGCACTACCATACCGTGATTCCCAAATCTTCAGCTTAGTAACATCATTTGTGGTAAAGCTCATAGTTTTGGAATCAGGTCTTTTGTGGTTCAAAAACTTGCCAAAAACTGTAAGGGCAACCCTGGAGACTCCGACAAAAGCCTAGCAGGGGAGGATCCAAAGCGTGAATAAAAGCTACGGGAAATACACGGAGGGACCGACCTAGCAGGGGAGGATCCAAAGAGAAGAAACTCTAAGGGTCCGCCTGCTAGGGCGCCAACTATATACTGGTCGTCCGTAACTGCCGACGTAGAGCGCAGAAGGCCTGAGCGGCGTCGCAGGCTCTGTCCCAAGGTGATCGTTGGGAGGGTCTTGACGGATCGGTGATTGTGCGGGCAAAGGAGGCCGTGGACGATGGTCGGGGTGGGTCGGAGCGTCCGAGGGGGCGCCGGTCGGATGCGCCTCGGATGCGTTCGGAGGGTCCGAAGGAGGCCGAAGCGGGGGTTTCCCTGACATCACCCCCCCCCCTTTGAATGCGGCGTCCCGATGCATAGTTCGAAAGGGCAAGGAGTCGAAGGTCGCTGAGGCGATGTGCCGTGGTTTACCTGGGTACCTCCGATAGAAGTCCGCAATCTTGTCTGGCGCAAAGACACGGTCGAACCGAACCCACGAGTCGTGTGAGGCGTCGTAGCCTTTCCACCTGACGAAATAGTTAAGACGCTTATACCTTATCCTGGCATCCAAGATTTCCTCGACTTCCCATTCGGGGACTCCGTCCTCTAGTTCGGGGGGCGGTTTGTCGTAGCCGGGTCGTCCATCGAAGGGGTCGTCCTGAGCGGGCTCGAGCTTAACAACGGGGAAGACAGGGTGGAGCTTGGAGCAACGCGGGGGAAGGTCGAGCTTGTAGGCACCTTTGTTAACCTCTGCAAGCATCTTGAACGGTCCGAGGCGCTTGTGGGAGAACTTCTCGGAGGGCCGAGTTGTTCTGATGTTAGAAGCGTCCAGCCAAACCTTATCACCAACTTGAATATTCGGAGCGTCCGAACGTTTCCGATCGTAGTACCGTTTATACTCGTCTTTGGCTTTAACGAGCGCGGCCTTTGCCTCGGAGACGCCGTTAGCTATCCGATCGCGAAACTCGTTCACCGACTCCAACTCTGAGCGGGCGCCTGGCTCGAAACCCATTCGGGGGAGCCGACCAGTGTCTGTCATAAAGGGTACCTGTTGAGTGGAGGAGTGAACATGGTTGTTATAGGCGAACTCAGCGGCAGGGATAAGCTCGTCCCAGTTGTCTTGTTGGTAGTTGGTGAAGATCCGGATGTACTGCTCGAGCTCTTGGTTAACATGTTCGGTTTGTCCGTCGGTTTGCGGGTGGTAAGCCGTAGAGGTGGCCGGTTTGACACCAATTAAGCGCCAGAGTTCGCGCGTGAAGTCAGCGATGAACTGCGAACCACGGTCCGAAATGTACTTCTCGGGGGTTTCGTGGTGCCTCCAGACATTCCGATAGTACAACCGGGCGGCTCCGACCGCGTCTATTGTCGTATGGCACTCGGTGAAGTGGGCGCGTTTACCAAGAGCGTCGACGACTACCATGACCGCGTCATACCCATGAGCTTCGGGGAGCTCGACGATGAAGTCCACCGTGACGGTGTGCCAGCGTTCGGGGGGGACTTCGGTCGGGTGTAGCTCTCCGTGCGGGAGCCTTCGGAGGGCCTTCGTGCGGCAGCACAAGTCGCAGGTCGCGACGTAGCGTCCGATATGGCGGGACATCTGTGGCCACCAGTAGTTGCGTGAAACCAACTCCAGGATCTTGAACCGCCCGGCATGTCCAGCGACACGCGTGTCGTGGCAGAGCTCTATAATGCGCCTCCTCAGGTCTTTGTCTTTGGGGACTACGACCTTGCCGCGGAAGTACAGGAGGTCGCCTGAGACGGCCCACTCGTCCGAACGCGATGAGCGGGGGCCCCGAGCTTGACCTCGGACCTTCAAGAGTTGCCGAGCCGCAAGTGCGACGGGTTCCTCTAGGTCAGGCTCACCGGATAGCGCTTCCTTGATGTCGCGGACAAGTTCGGAGCCAGGCCCAGAGACAGTGACGGCCTCAAGCGCGCGAACGTGGAACAGTTCGGGGCGTAAGAGGGTGACATCCGAGTTGTCGTCGGAGATACCGTGGTCAGGCCGGCGGGAGAGAGCATCGGGACAGCCCATCTGGCGACCTGGGACGTGGTGCAGCGTAAAGTCAAACCTGGAAAGGTACAACGACCATCGGGCTTGCCGACGATTAAGGTGTTGCGCCTTTCGGAAGTATTCCAAGTTCTTATGGTCAGTCCAGATCTCAACCGGATGCGCGGCGCCCTCAAGGAAATGCCGATACTTCTCGAGTGCGCGGATGATCGCGAGCATCTCCTTGTCGTGAATCTCGTAGTTGCGCTGGACATCATTTAAGCTTTTGGAATAGAACGCTACAGGGTGCCACTTCCCGTCCGGGGCGGATTGTTGTGAAAGAACCGCCCCCGTCGCATAATCTGAGCTGTCTGCTTCAAGTCGGAAAGGCCGACAACCGCGTCTTTGATAGCTTGAAAGGCGGCGGCTTCGGCGTCTCCCCAGGTCCATTTCTGGTCTTTCTTGGTGAGCGCGAAGAGAGGCTGCGCGAGGGCCGAGAAATCCCGAATGAACCTGCGGTAGAAATTAGCAAACCCCAGAAACTGCTGGACGTCCTTCTTGTTTTCGGGCGGAGGCCATGCGGAGACTCCAGCGACCTTAACGGGATCCATTTCGACGTGGTTGTGAGAGATAATGACCCCCAGGTACTCGATCGACGATTTATCGAAGTCGCACTTTTCCTTGCGAAGGTACAACTTGTGCATTCGGAGCCGCCGAAGGACCTCCCGGACGATCTCGCGGTGCTTGCGGAGGTCCGAATGTGCGATAAGGATGTCGTCGAGGTAGATCATAACGTCGCCTGAAAGAATGAGATCCTGGAAAATGTCATTCATCATCGTTTGGAACGTCGCGGGGGAGTTTGTCAGGCCAAAATACATCACCAAAGGTTCGAACAACCCTC